AAAATCTTGAACCGTAGCTGCAGCTGATCCACTATTAGTGTCAGCAGGATTTGGAGCCTGCTGATTGTTCTGGTTAGTCACACTCTGAGACGAGATGAATCGCATTCTGAAATTCTACATTCAACCTCATGGTTCAAGACTGGAGGAATTGCGTTAGCATTGCGTGCATTAGCATTCCATGCGTATGCTCTACGAGGAGGCATAATCTGAAATGCATAACGATGGATTAGAAAAGAGAAGTTGGATCATACCCACGCACGATAAGAATAACAAAGAAAGTGAATTTTTTCTTTAAACACTTCGTAGCCTCCCTGTCATAGATGTGGTGCACTTCACACCCATGAAAGAGACTCTACTTAATGCGGCTTCCAAACATCCTAGGACTCTTGAACCTAATGCTCTGATACCAAGTTTGTCATGCCCCGAGGCTACTCCCTTGGCATAACACGGGACCTAGGATCACGAGTGACCCCAAGCTAACCCTGTTTTTGGCATATATCAAGCATACTAAGAAACAACTAAATAAGAGATATACTATGCAGAAGCTAAAATAGTAGATAACTGAAAGTGGTGAATACCCAATTAAACTGAATATATTAAAACTTTTTAAGATTTTAATGATACTGAACATTCACTTAAGGTTAAAACTGAATCTAATACTATGTCTTAAAAGCCTCCACTGACTAGAGTTGCTGGGACATCCCCCCAGCTAACTCTAGCAAAACTAAAATTGTGATAAAAGTTTGAATATGAAAAACATGTCTATTGTCCTCGAAGTATGAGGACTCACTACTGAAGTTGATGAATAAGGATCGGGAACTGATCTATGTGTGATCTGGATGCTGAATGTCTGAACCTACATCATAAAAGGATGTAGCGTAGAGTATGCTTCAGTACTTGGAATGTACTGAGCATGAATGATATAGATAATAGCTGAACAAATATATAGGCTGAACAAAACATAACTGAGCAATGATACAATTTGAATAGAATATAAATACTGAATTATAACTGACAAAAATTGAACTAAATGCGATGACCAAGTATTGATTATGAACATAACATGCTGAGACTATATATTGAAGTATAAAATGAAAACCTAGTCAAATGCACTAGAGTCTAATTGTGGGAGCTACTATTAACCGACATAAAACCACGTGAGCTAAACGCAGAGTCCGATGTATACACCCCATCAAAAGGACCCAATATACCTTGGTAGGGGTATAAGGGCATGACTAGTGTGATCACTAAATCTGATGCCTAATAGAAGGGACTTACGGGGGCATATAGTTTTGGGACGATGAGGGTGTTGCTTCCAATTGCACACGTAAGTGCACGTGGTTGTTCAAGTATTAAAATGGCTCTTTTTAAGAGCCGGGTATCGTACCCACATGGACTTACGCTTAGAATCACACAATTTCTCTAACTTTCAGTTAATCATAAGTGTTATCCAGATTTCAAAAGTGATTTAGTTTCTAATTCTAAAGTTATATCAAAATGCAATAAAAGCGATTCAATTTCAAAGGTTTAAAAACAATGATTGAGTAAAGTCCAGGGCTGCATCTTTTATCAGGATTCATGCAATCAATACCATTTATATGGGTATTTATCAACTATCGAACCAATGAATCACACGGTTAAATGTATGATTATGGTCTCCCGACCTCTAATCGCCTACGATAAATAACATCCTAACTACATCATTGAGCGGGGATAAGATGGATTAAATACCGAGCATTACGATTTTTTTTGTATGGTGACCCAAGCATGGTATCTAGGTATATCCCTATCCTAGATACAAACTAACCCTAGTTATTTAGAATTAATCATGCTCTTTATGTACCACGTTCTATCCTCTTATTCCTCTTCCGAGTTCAATTCAGACAATAGATTTATTTCAATGGTGATCAGTCACGAAATACGAAATGCAAGAACATAAGAAAAATTCATATGATAATTGACATTAACCCAATGAAAACTTAATAGATTACAATCATCCTATAGCCACAACCCTAGAACTAGGGTATTTAGCTACTCATAATCAAGAATCGATCAAACAATGTTTAATGAACATAAAGAGTTCGAAAAGAAAAGAGTTTAGGAAAGAACCCTAAAAATGGTGAAAACGTTCTCCCAAGTTGTCGTTCTTCAAAACCCAAAAAAAGAATAATTAATAAAATAAAATAATGACCTATTTATACTAAAAGTCAAAACAGCCAAAACAGGGCACCAGGAGCGCGACGCAAAGGTCTTCTCTAATTTTACTCTGCGATAGTTTTCTCTTCTCCGCGACGCGGGCACTCCACGGAGTGTTCTACCTCAAATCGACTTTTCACGAACCAAATTAACATTCCTCTCCGCGACGCGGAGAGGATACGGAGATGCCTTAAATGATATTTCTTTACTCTTCCTCCTTGCTTCCTTTTGACTTGGCTCTCTTGTGTTCCCCATTGCCTATTTTCATGCTCGTTTCTCCAATTAAGCTCACCTACACAACTAATCATGTTGGTTAGCTCATATACGACCAAAAGGCTCAATTAGACTATAAACATACACATTTTGAATTCAAACTTAGCTTAAATATGGGCATTATTAGATTTCTAGGCATATAAATATGCCTAAGATCAGAGGGTGCGCTTAACCGTAGTCCAACTCAGTGTTAAGTCTACTCCCAACTAGAAATGTATATGACACAACATAATTGAAATACTGGATAGCTCAATATTCTGACATGCAAATTTGAGAATGGAACATTTAAGTATTGACAATGTAACATTCAAAATCTGAGGCATGTTTATCTATTTAACTGGCCTAGCAAGTGTAATTCATCAATTAAGAGAATCTACACAACTAGGGTTCGAAGTTTCATGTAAGGAATTGAGCAATGTTCCCATGAAAACATGATAATTCGATTAAGAATACTATAAATGTCATGACCCGAGCCTACACCCTGGACATGACTGGCACTCAAGAATCATTGTTGGTCCCCAAGCAAACCCTTATCCTGGCTGACTCTAAGCGAAAGACTAACTCAAGCATACAAAGCTTAAAACTAAATGAAACTCATTGAAATAAGGTTCAACTCAATGATAAGATATTCAACTCAGTGAAATAATACTCAACTCAATAATAAGACACTCAACTGTTGGTACTCAAAATCTGGATACTCAACTCTGGATACTCAAATCTGGATACTCTACTCAATATAAAGCAACAATAAGAGATGAAATATATGGAAAACTTTTTAAATAGTAGAAAAAAACTCAATGTATTTAAGAATACAATATACTCAGTTTGTATGCAAGGATACAATATAAACTCTATTTGTATATGAAAATACAAGTAAATTCTGTGTATATAAAAATACAAATATCTCTGTGGGAGTTTCTCTAACCGACAACCATCACTTATGAGCTATGTGATGATACAATATTTTGCCTCACGCTACCAGAGCCGTCCTATACCTTGCCAGTGGTATAGAACCTAACTACTAAGTGGATCCACTAGTCTATGCTAAAAAGCATTATGGTATCATCTAAAAAGTATGACCCTTTCTACCCACGTTGGCTATATGGTTTATGGGGGTTGTGAGTTGTCTGAACTCTCCCCCATATCGGTGTTCAATAGTACTCCCAAAATATAACTAGCTCATATGTATAAAAATATAACTCTTTATGTGGTTTGAGATAATTACTCAAAAACTAGACCAAGAGCTCTCTAGGAAATTAGTGTTTCCTCTCTTGCTTAGATGTGAAAGCATTTACTCTTTACTGGAAAACTAGCTCAAAGGCTTTGTTGGAAATTGGTGTTTCCTTTCATGTTTAAATGTGAAAACATTTACTCTTTGGGAATACATAGTCCCCATATACTCTTTTGAAGAAATGAACTTCACTCTTTACTCTTTACTCAACTCAAAACTCAAGTCTTAAATCAAGTTTAAAGCATTTGTAAAAGACTTTTTAAAAGAGTTCATGCCAAATTATGGACCAGAACGACTCAATTCAAGGTTTTCAATAATCATATATAGAACTCAATACTTAGAACTCAATGATCTTGGACATATTTATGCGCCTAATAACAAATTTATCCTATACATATAGCTAAGTTGAGAGCATTTTTCGTTGTCGAAATTAAGTTTTGAGAGTCTTTTGATGTCGCTTCGTCTAACCAATATGATTAGATGTTTTAGGGTGAAAAGTAAAGAAAAACGAGCCAAAATAGGGCACCTGGTCAGAGGTCAGAAAATAGAAAGCGAAGTTGCGGAGAAAAAGGGCCGAGAAGCTGGAGAATACACTACGAGGGAGCATTTCCGCATCGCGGAGCTGATACGTGTGTGCAAAAATGGAACTCCACTTAATAGTGGAGTGTGTGATGGGAGTGCGTCGCGGAGAGGTTTCACCTGTTTTATTTTAGACTATGAATAGTTTAAGTGTGTTATTGTTATTATTATCCAGTTTTTAAAAGACTAGAGAACATCGATTTGGGCGATTTGGTTGACACTTTCTAGGGCTTTTCTTCTACTCCTTCATTTTGGTAAACCCTTTTATGATCCATAAACATTATTTGATGATCTTTTGTTCTATGAGTAGCTAAAATTCCCTTATTCAAGGGTTGTAGCTACGATTAATGGCATATTTGTAGTTGTTTCTATCATGAGATGGGTTTTCTTGTGATTTATGCTTACCTGCTTATTTAACTATTTTAATGACTGATCTACATTAAAATAAACTCATTGTCCACTCTTGAATTAGGAAGATGAATAGAGGGATAGACCAAAGAATGTGAGAAACGTGTTCAGTCTAAAGTGAAGTTAGAGTGTTTCATATATAGGATAGTCCTATACCTATATACCACACTTGATTAATATGTAAGATGATAGCTTAATGCTCCGCCATTGGTTTATGCCTATCCCCGCTCAACGATGTAGTTAGGCTGTCGATGGTGGTAGGCGATTAGAGGTCGGGAGATCATGATCGTAAAATGAACCTTGCAAATCCATAATGAGGTTAGCCTGTCGAATGCTAGGATAAATTAATATTATGCTAGAAATCGGGTTATGCTACAACCCTGGATTACTTTCCCATATTGTGAAATTCTCTTGTTTGAAACTGTTTGATTGTAGTAATTAATTTTTGAGATTGTTCAACTTAGTAAATACAAAAAAATTTCTAAAATTGTTTGTCACATAAGTAAATTTATTTTAGACATAGCAAAGTTGTTATTTGTTGATTTGAAGTCCCTTGGGTTCGATAATCCGGTTCGAAAGAGTCGCTGTACTACTTGAGTGACCACGTGCTTTTGTGTGTGCTTTTGGACGCAACAAGTTTTTGGCGCTGCTGCCGAGGACTTTAAAATCGGCAGATATCTAATTTTTGAGTGTCTAAATTATTTGTACAAGTGTTGACAACTTGATCTTTGCTTTTCATTTCACAGGTTGTGTCAGGTTTTCTCTCTGGAAGACGACCAGGACTTCTTAGAGCCTTTAGCTGAACTAGAGAGATTTGTTTGTTACCAGAGAAGGCAAAGATGACTCAATTATCATGTTCTTCTTATGGCTAGTGAACCAGAAACTTCAGAAGAAAGGGAGGATCAAGACCCACCGACAGTGATGGCGGAAATGAAAATGAGGGATGTGGCAATCCCACAAACCACCAATGTTACCTCAAGTATTCAAAAACCTGCACCTAGTGAGAGGTTTGAATAGAAGCAGAACATGGTACAACTACTGCACACAAACGGCCAGTTCATTGGTCTATCTCATGAGGACCCCGAGTGCATATTTAGAATTTCCTCAAGATCAGTGACACATACACTCCAACTGAAGTGAGCTCTAATTATGTGAGGCTCACATTATTTCCCTTTTCTCTGCTGGGGGAAGCAAAAAGATGGCTGAACTCTGAGCCTGCAAATTCCATAACAACTTGGGATAATCTTGCCCGGATGTTTTTGATAAGGTTTTTTCCATCCGGTAAAACAGCCAAGCTAAGAAACGACATATTAAGCTTCCGATAGAAAGGAGAGGAAAACTTGTACCAATCTCAGGATAGGTTTAAGTCCCTGTTGTTAAGTTGTCCACATCACCATCAAGCTAACGAAATGTTGGTCCATACCTTCATTGAAGGGTGGAACCAAATACAAAAATTTTACTGGATTCTGCTGCAGGTGGACAAACTTTGGAGAAGACATATGCTGAGGCTGTTTACATTGCTCAATAGAATTTCACAGGGTAACCCCGAGTGGAATGGCAAAGGAGCTAAACCAGTCATACATAAAACTGCTGGAGTGTTGGAAATAGATGTAGTGACAGCTTTGTCGGCACAGATCACAGCGATGCAGAATATGATGACTACTCATTTCAGCAACATGCCACTAGGACAACAACAAGCCCAAGTTAATATGGTGCATCAACCACAAGCTTGGTGTGAAGTATGTGGAGGTGGAGATCATAGTGCTGAGGTATGTGGAGCAAACCCAAAATCTATTCATTTTGTAGGTAATGCTCAACGAGGAGGAAATCACCAGAGCTATGGAAATACCTACAACCCGAGCTGGCGGAACCACCTAAACTTCTCATGGGGTGGCAATCTAAACCAACATCAAGGACAAAACCAATACAAACCACAGAGTAGTGGACAACAGTACCATCAACAAAACCATGGTAACCAGCAGGCTGCCAAGCAAAGTGATATGAGTGTGGAGGACATGCTAAAAAAAATCATGGCAGATCAATCTAAATTGGCAGCAGATGTTCAAAACAATCAATTGGCGACTCAGAATTTGAAGAAACAGTTTGGGCAGTTTGCTAGTGCCCAAAATTCCCGACCACAAGGGGGTTTGTTGGGAAATACCGACCCAAACCCGAAGCAGGTAAATATTGTGAGTACTCGGATTGGTCGTCCATTGGAGGAGTTGACACCAAAGGAAAAAGTTGCTGAAGAAAAAAGAAAACATGTAGATGAAGCAAAACCCTCTCCCCCATTCCCACATAAATTCAAAAAACAAAAGGAGGAGGAATATTTTGGTAAGTTTATTTAATTACTCAAACATGTACATGTTAACTTGCCTTTGATTGATGTGTTGCAGGGCATTCCTAATATGCCAAATATGTGAAAGATGTGGTAGCCAACAAAGTAGATTGGCTGAGTATGCAACAGTAGCGCTCACAGAGGAGTGCAGTTCTAGGATCCAGAATAGGCTCCCAACTAAGTTGAAAGATCCAGGGAGTTTCACTATTCAAATAAAAATTGGTAAATGTGTTGAGGCAAGAGGTTTGTGCGATTTGGGCGCAAATATCAATTTGATGCTTACCTCCATGTGTCTCAAATTGGGACTAGGAAGACCCAAGTCCATAACCATTATGTTATAGTTAGCGGACCGTTCGGTGTCAAGGCCAAATGGCGTTATTGAAGATGTCTTGGTTCAAGTGGGAACTCTGATTTTCCCCATGGACTTTGTCATTTTGGATTTTGAACCTAACCCAGAGGTCCCATTTATTTTGGGACGCCCATTTTTAGCAATCGGAGGTGCATTAATTGATATGGCGGTCGGTAGACTAATAATGAGGGCTCATGACAAGGTCGAGGTATTTGATGTTTACAAGGCAATGAAGTTACCTGTAATATATGAGGAGCTGTCTGCAATTACTGCCATTGATGAGGAAATGACATCTAAATATGTTGAAGTCCAAGACACTTTAGAGAAAGTGTTAATTGGGCAAGACATTGATGGAGATATTGAAGCCCAGGAGTTGGCTAACGTCCTAAATGTCCTGAATGTGAGTATGCTTTGCAAGTTTGTGGAGCCATTAAACAGAGTCCTGGGACCACCTCCTAAGCCGTCGATTGAGGAAACACCCAAGTTGGAGTTAAAAGCTCTCCCTTCTCATCTCAGGTATGCATTCTTAGGTGCCAATGAATCTTTACCGGTATTCCTTTCTTCTGCTTTGTCCGTATTGCAGGTTGAGGCATCTCTGAAAATATTAAGGAAGAGGAAAAGGGCGATAGGCTGGTAGATTGCTTACATACATGGCATCAACCCAACTTTATGCATGCACATGATATTCATGGAGGAGGGACACAAGTCAATTGTGCAATCGCAGCGCAGGCTAAACCCAGTGATGGAAGATGTGGTGCGCAATGAGGTGATCAAATGGCTAGATGCGGGTATTGTCTATCCAATTTTGGACAGTAAGTGGGTCACCCTAGTTCAGTGTGTGCCTAAAAAGGGAGGCATGATGGTGATCACCAATGAAAAAAATGAGTTGATTCCAACCAGGATGGTGGCAGGATGGTGAATATGCAGGGATTATAGAAAATTGAATGAATCCACCAGAAAGGATCACTACCCGGTTCCTTTTATTGATTGTATGCTGGACAAGAATATTATTGTTTCCTGGATGGCTATTTAGGATACAACCAAATTTTGATTGCACCAGAGGACCAGGAGAAAACTACATTCACTTGCCTGTATGGGACATATGCTTTCAAGAGAATGCTGTTTGGTCTATCTAATGCTCCAGCCACCTTCCAAAGATGCATGATGGCTATCTTTCATGATATGGTTAAAGATTTTGTGGAAATATTCATGGATGGCTTCTCAGTATTTGGGGAGTCTTTTGACAGGTGCTTGGAGAATTTAGACAGGGTGCTGGCTAGATGCGAGGAAACTAATCTCATCCTAAACTGGGAAAAATGTCATTTCCTAGTGAAGGAAGGGATTGTGTTAGGCCATAAGGTGTCAAAAAGAGGGCTGGAAAATGATCATGCCAAAGTGGAAGTAATTGAAAAGCTACCTCCCCCAATTTCTATTAAAGGGGTGCGAAGTTTTTTGGGTCATGCTGGTTGCTATAGAAGATTCATCAAGGATTTCTCTATGATTGCAAGGCCCATGTGTAATCTCCTAGAGAAGGAAATGAAATTTGTATTTGATGAGCAATACATGCAAGGTTTTGAAGCTTTGAAGAAGAAGTTGATAGAAGATCCAATCCTAACTTCCCCAAATTGGGAGCTTTCTTTTGAGCTGATGTGTGACGCAAGTGATGTGGCTGTGGGAGCTGTGTTGGTGCAAAGGAAAGAGAAGGTGTTTCACTTAATATATTATGCAAGCAAAACATTGGATGTGGCCCAAACTAACTACACAGTGACTGAAAAAGAAATGCTAGCCTTGGTATGTGCTTTTGACAAATTTAGATCTTACCTGGTAGGGACTAAAGTTGTTGTTTATACTGATCATGTAGCTATCAGGTACTTGTTCAACAAGAAGGATACAAAGCCGCGGTTAATCAGGTGGATTCTATTGCTGCAAGAGTTTGACATAAAGATCAATGACCGAAGAGGTTCTGAAAATTAGATTACAGATCACCTGTCAAGATTGGAGAGTTCATCACATGTGGGAGAGCAATGTCAGATTCGGGAAGAGTTTCCTGATGAACAGTTATTGGTGCTAGAGGTGACCGAACTACCATGGTGTGCAAACATTGTAAATTATTTGGTTAGAGGATTGTTTCCACCAGATGCAACCACATACCAAAAGAAGAGGTTGATTTATGATGCTCGGTTCTACATATGGGATGAGCCTTATCTTTTCAAGCAAGGTCCGGACAAAATGATGAGAATGTGTGTACTTGAGTCTGAGATGAGACAAGTGATGGATAGTTGCCACTCGTCCGCATATGGGGGTCATCATGGAGGTGATCGCACTACGCCTAAAGTGCTCTAATCAGGTTTTTTCTGGCCTACTTTGTTTAGGGATTCTGCAGGTTATGTGAAAAGTTGTGATCAATGTTAGAGGATAGGGTCTATTTCAAGACGACGTGAGATGCCTTTGCATAACATCTTGGAGGTTGAAATATTTGATGTCTGGGGGATCAACTTTATGGGGCCATTCCCTCAATCGAATGGAAATCAGTACATACTTGTGGCTGTGGACTATTTGTCAAAATGGGTTGAAGCAGTAGCTTGGCCGACCAACGATGCTGAAGTGGTGTTGAAGTTTCTAAAGAAGCACATCTTTACTCGATTTGGAACTCCTAGAGCAATAATCAGTGATGGAGGGACACACTTCATAAATCAATTGGTGAAGAATATCTTAGCTAAATATGGAGTCAGACACAATGTAGCTACAACATACCATCCTCAAACTAGTGGCCAGGTAGAAGTGTCAAACAGGGAAGTGAAGCAGATTCTACAGAAAACAGTGAATGCCCAAAGGAAAGATTGTGCAATGAAGCTTGATGATGCATTATGGGCATACATGACCGCTTATAAGACACCAATAGGGACTTCTCCCTATCACTTGGTGTTTGGTAAAACGTATCACCTCCCTATTGAATTAGAACATCAGGCTTACTGGGCAATGAAGAAGTTGAACTTGGACCCAAAACTGGCAAGGAGAAAAAGGATGGGTCAGCTACATTTATCGGAAGAATTCAGACTCCATGCCTATGTAAATGCCAAGCTCTATAAGGAGAAGACTAAACGATGGCATGATAAGCATATTGTGCCTTGACTTTTTGAACCAGGGCAAAAGGTATTATTGTTTAACTCTAGATTGAGGTTGTTTCCAGGTAAGTTGAAGTCAAAATGGAGCGGACCATTTGAGGTGGTGCGTATGACCAACCACGACGCTATAGAGTTATGGAATGAGGTAAGCAATCCACGTTCATTGTGAATGGACAAAAGGTGAAGCATTACTTCAGACAAGAGGTGGATCGAGAAGAAGAAAGTATGGAGTTGAGCAATGAATGAAGGGGAGCTGAGTCATGCCGCGATGTTAAATCAGGCGCTACTCGGGAGGCAACTCGAGACTTTGTATTTTGATAAGATATTCCCGTCTTATTTTATTTGAATACGCCACTTTGGTTTAATTTTAGTTATAGGTTATTTCAGTTATCTTAAAAGTTGTAATTTGCAAAATAAAATAAAATGAAATTTTGGGGCGAGAAAATAGTGGAGTCCGTGAACTCATCGTGTCGCGGACTTGTTTCTGCAAGAGGAGAGCCCCAAGCTAAAATGGGGCGTGTAAACGAGTGGAGTCCGCGACAGGAGCGTGTCGCATACTTGTTTCCTCCATGTGATGGATGGCTAGGCAAATCTGTGAAAAATAGCAACGCATGTCTGCGACAGCTCCGCGTCGCGGACCTGGTAATTTTTTTGGGTATTTTCAATTAAAAAGTTAGGTTTTATCCGGCTAATTGGGTAAAAACTAGACCCCATTCCCTTTTATTCCCCAAATCTGTCTCTTTAACCCCATTTTCTATTTTTAAATTGCTTTCTCCTCCTTTCCCCTTCAACCCTAACTCCTTCCAAGAACAAATCCGTGTAGCGAAGTGAAAATTTCTTCCCAAGTTCATCACTTTTTGGTAGGTCTAAGCATGCAAGGTATGTGTCCTACTCTTTTATTTGTTTCTTTGGGATGATTCACGAAAGTTAGGGCTAGTATTTATGCGTGTGATGGATGAGTTATTGTGATATATTCAAATTGTTGCCTATTTGTGGTTTTCTTTTTCTTAATGGCTATGGTTGATGGAAAAATCTGTTGGAGTTCATTGGGATATTATAATGAGGAAAATTTTTATGGGGAAATTAATAATTGGGGGGTTGTGAATTCTTGAGTAGCAACTTGGTAATGGGGGAAGTGACTGAAATAGAAGAATATGTGTTGGTTCGAATTCTGGAGTAGAATCTGAGATGTTTGGGTTTGTATGTTTAGGTTAGGGTGAATTGTGTGAATCATATGCTGAAAATGACATTGGGAAGTCTGAGTACCGTGTTGTTTGTGAAGTTGTGCTCGAGAGTAGGTGTGGGGTGACCCTCAATTTGAGTCTCACTAACTGATATGAGTTTTGTCTGATTGTAGGTTACCATGTCTATCACACAAAGGTCGGGCAAAGCGGTGGCGTCTAGAAGCCGTAAGAGAGTAAGAACATGCACCACCATTCCCCCGGCACCCGCATTCCCAAGAGGACAAAATCAGCACTACGGGGCCAAGGCTATCACATCAGAGGGCAAGAAGTGGTACAAATCACACATGGAAGCCAAGTACTTCTTGGATGTGCTACTTGATGATGTCCACTTAGAGAGGGAGTTCCCACACATTATGCGTCGCCTGCAAGAGCTTAACATGGGTTTCATCTTTCAAGATCCATCAGAGTGCAATGTTAGTGTGGAGTGGGAATTCTACGCAAATTGGAAGCCCGATGCCCGTTCTCACTTTGTAACAGTGCGAGGCGTGGAGGTCCCTGACACTTTCAACCATAAATCAAATACTGGGGACTGTAGATGCCCCTTCTGATTTCCTCACAGGGATCAATATCAGCCCTCCATATCAGCAGATCCGACATGCCTTGTGTGGGGCGCAGTCCACTGCGAAATGTATTCGGCATGGGCACCGTGGTTATCACCAGTAATAACCTTATGCTCACATTAATCGGGAAGCTCGGGTGTGGTTAAAAATGTCATGAATTGTCTGATATCAGGGTTGCATTTTATCGAGGTAACGAGAGATTGATTATGCTTGGTCTATGCTCTAATGAAGGACCTACCTATCAATGCAGGAGCGATGCTAAAATCGTCCATACGCAAGGCTAGAGTACATCAAGGTCGAAGGTATGCTTTTGGAGGATTAATCACTAATTTGTTCAGCCGAGCTGGAGTTCTAGAGGAGAGCGTGGATTACATGGCACCTTTATTCACCACGCCCCTAGATGTCACAAAGACAAAGGGGCCGGAGAACATGCATGGACCCACCCTCACTACCGCTGAGCAAAATAGTAGGGATGATATGATCACGGCGTACATGTTTGGACTAGAAATGTTGCGTCATAGAAATGTATGCCAAGCTTCGAGTCGGGAGCAGCTGGACGAAAATGCAACGAAGTACCCCTTAAATGAACATGCTGAGGCATTGCTAGGACTCGGACCTGCATTTCTGGAACCCGTATGGGATGATGTTCCAACTGACAAGGACAAGTGGCGAACCATGTCGGATAGTGAATCCGATTCTGATGCAGAT